CGATTACAAGAACAGATTAATAACAGTCCGACGTGGTCTAGTGGTTAGGATTTCTGCCTTTCACGCAGGAGGCCCGGGTTCGATTCCCGGCGTCGGAATTTTTTTTTCAGAAACCAAATAAGTTTGAAACTATATTCTATGGAACACGATAATTAAAATAGCTGTTTCGAGTTAGCTTCCATTTAAGGCTCCCCTCTCCCTCAGAAAATCGAGTTTTTCAGGGAAATATCGAAGTTGAGTTTTTATTACAGAAAGATGCAGCGAAGCTTCTTCTTTCAGAATATGTATAGTTTTTTGGAAATGGTCAGATTTTCAAAGACTTGGCACATGAAATTTTGAATCTACTACCATGTTTTCAGAGAAATTTTCGTGGTTTTTAAAAGTTTTCAGTTTTAGAAAAATTGCATTCCCACTGACATTATCATTAAATAGAATATTTTTATATTAATCGGCATGTCAGATGGCGTCAGCTACCTTCATCTATTACGTCCTTTAAAACGGTCCAGTGGAATATACCATTGTAATATGATTTATTCTGGATTTGAATGAAAAAATCCATTTCTAAAACTTCTTCAGCATTTTTCTCAAAACACGGTTTCTAGACAGAAAAATTGAAATAACTCTCACTCGACTCGGCATATAACCGATGTTCTTTTATTGTTTTAAAGGTCTTAATCACAGCTAACTTTTCATCTGACGGCTTTTTGATGTTCGATCCCAGGGCTGAGAAAAGTGGGATTTACTGTCGTAGATTTACATTTTGTTATGCTTATTTTGCAAACATGTCCACAAAATTGCTCGTAAAAAATGAATGGAAGGGAGTTTCAAAATTCCGTTCGATATAAAGTTGCGTACAGAGGCTAGGTCCAATTTGAAACTAGTCCAAGCTCTGTACTCCTTCTAATGACGGAGTTATTTCGATTCTCCTGAGAGATAGGAAAACAAGCCGAAAGTTCGATCTAGTAAGGCATATCAGGCTGAAATTTTTACCACAAGCGTTTCTCACCAAGATCAATCATCTCTGAAAATTTCAGCCCAAACGGTGGACTCCAAGTGGGAAATCAATTCTGAGGGGGGGGGGGGGGGGGGGGGCTTAAGTGATCAGTAAATAAAAATATGTAAATGGTTAGTATAAATATTAAACAATCACTACTAAAATTATCAGTAACTAATTGTAAAATAGATAGTTTACGGAATATAAGTAGCAATAAAAAATACAAAACTCATAAGTAGAAAAGAAATTTGAATAAATCAAAGAACCGCCGAATAAATAAGAAATTTAAAGAATGATTGGAAAAGGAAAGAAAATTAAACTATTGTACCAATAAAACAGATTTCGCATTTGATGATCTGTCTCTTTTTGTTTTCTCACTGAATGGTGCTACCTTTGTTACTGCTTGTGGTTTACAATATTGCAAAAGAATAGTCATATTCACAACATTTTTGCATATGTAATTCTTAAGAAACGCTAGATTATGACATTTCGATGTTTTCCAATGTGAATGATTGTCCATTTTTCGTGCGATGTTTATATATGAATCAGTTTTTGTGATCGATTGTAAATCATGAACTGGTATATAATATCTTTTGCGAAGAATCATTTGGAATACAAATGATATCTTTTATCAATTTAGCCTATCGATATGATAAAATCCATGATTTTGAAGCTATTGTTGATTTGTAGAAATTATTGTATCAAGTGAAAATCAATATTGTTTGGTTGACCAATTTTCGATATTATTTAAAGGCACCTATTTAAATGCTAAGTAAAAATATATGAATGCCAAGTTGACTTTTGCTAAGTAAAATTTGTGTATGCTCAGTAAATAAGTTAGATGTTCAATAAATTTATTGGATGATAGATTAAATTAATATTTCTCTATAACTAACATTTTTGCCAAGTTTGATAATTAATATACAAGTGAAATATTTAATTATTAAGTTAATAAATTGGATCGTATAATTAAGAAAATATATTAGATAAATAACAAAATTGTTAATAAGTAAATATGATTAAGACAAGATAAGATAACGATTGTCAGTTGGTGATTTGGCTTGTACATTTTTTCTCTTGTCTTCTGTTAGTACTGATATGACACTATAATATAAGTAGATTTCATCTTTATTTTCTTTCGTTATGATATCATGCGTGAGTACACATACACTATCTTCAAGCATGTTCAAGTACATTTTTTTTTGTCTCTCTCCTTCTCTAGCGATTATATATGATCTCTGTTGTTTTCGGGAGAGTTCTTTCCTCTGTATATGTCATTTTCTAGTGAGTTCTTCTCTTCTTATTCTTTTGTATATGTATTAGTGATGCATTTCATTTTGCAAAATCCTCAAAATTAGTATAACAATTATTATCTAAAACAAAAGGTTTTACTGACTACTATATACTAGCTGGTGAGGCAGAAAATATCACAAAAAATGAAATCCCAAGATGCAAAAGAAAAAGATGGACGCCATTCAATCAATTTAAAGATCTTGAATTTGAAATATAGAAAGTAACTTTGTCATACATTGAATCAGAATGGAAAAGTGGATTTTGCAATTGTTCAAACTTTTTAAAGAATGTATTTGCAAACATATGATTGGTATGGCAATTATATTGAAATTTTTCAAACAACCTCCAGCAGTAAAGGATGTACCTTTGGGTGAAAAAAGAAAATGAGGACGACCACGAAAAGCAACAAAAGCTTTATTAATCGAATAACTATTCAATTAAAATTATTATTCATACATTCCCTATTTTTACTTAACAAAAATTATACGTTTACCTATCAATTTCTAATATTTTGTTTAGAAAATTAAACTTTTCCATTGAGAATTTAAATAAAATACTTAGCAAAAATTCATTTTTCACTCAAGTTTATGTTTAATAAATTACTTGGAAAAAATACAATTTTTTACTTAGCTTTTATGTAAAATTACTTAGCACTTAAATAGGTGTCTTATTTAAAAACATTCTTAACAGTTTTAATAAAACATACCGTTTTCAAAACGTTTCGTCATATTTAATTGTTTCATTTATTGCATCTAAAACTTTGTTTATAGACTTGATATACACATATGAAAACTTTCATACTAGTCATTAATTGGTTTTAGGCATTCAAAGTCAAAACAATTCAAAAAGTCCAATATTGTTTGTTGTGTTTTGTTTCATGCTCATTTTCTATTGTTGCATGAATAACGCTGATACGCGTTTAAATATGTATATATAGTTGTAGAATTGTATAACTCAAGCATCTTAATATCTTCGATTAATTCTCTCTGATATCTTGGACTTCTATTTGGCATACAGTATTTTGAACTTTCCTCTTCATATATGTCAGCACACTATTTAATCGTACAAATTATCAAATAGATTTTTAAAACGTTTTTGATTAAATCAGCAGTATTTGATATCAATGATGTTCGTTTTAAAAAAGCTTCATTAATTTTTCTATATCAATTTGAAGACTAATGAAGATAAATTGAAAATATATGTTTGTTTCGATTTGAACATATCGCTAAGCCAAATTGATAAAATACTCTATTCAAATCAGTTCTTCCAATACCTAGTACTGGAAAAACTTATCATACTAATGTATAAGTAACAACAAAATGTATATATTGCCACATAGATGGACTATTGAGGAAATGAACAGATGATATAAAGATACAAAATTTATTTCCAACCGTCATCTTCTACATCTTCATATTCTTCATCATTATATAGTAACTTGCATGATACAATAAAAAGATTCGGTTTCATCAAGTAGAATATTTTGACTATTTTCATACCATTGTTCTAATGTAGCTAAACTTATCATATTGAGCCGAATTTCTTTTTATTTAATACACAAGATAACTTTTAGCTGTGCTAATGTTGACACATTTATTTTTCTTTATTCAAGTGCTCAAAGACCTAGTTTTGATTTCTTTATACCATCGTTGAATAAATCTTCTATATGCTTTGTAACATTTTCATCAATAGAATGATTTTTTTCATTATAATGTTCGTGTTCAGCTTTGATGTCATAAGCAGCTACTTTATCATTATTTGCATGATATAGCAAATAAATACTTGCACCACATTGACGACCACAACATTTAGCTTTCTTGCATCTATAGGAAACTTTTCTCGCATCTTCTTAATAATTTGTGTAATATTTTGACCATCAATTTCCAATACATACTTCTGCTTTACCAACACTATCAAATGTATCTTTGTTAACCCAACATTTTGATTCCTTTTCCTTAAGCGTTTTCTTATTTTAATTCATTTCATCATCTTTTTGCATCACTCATTCATGTGACATATCGCTTTCATAGTAATCAATTTGTACCACATCCTTCGTTAAAAACACGTCAAAATTTGTAAACGCGAAATATGTTATTTTTATTTGAAAAGATACCAAATATTTATACATGGGAATATAAAAGACAACAACCATTGAACAAGTCAAGAAGTTTCTTTCCTTTTGTTTTTGACAACAAATAATAAAAAGAATTAAAATAATTATTATTCTTATTTACAAAATATGAGGGTTACAAAAAACATGCTAGAATAACAAAGATATTTGTAGAACAACTGGAGCGAAAGGAAAAAAGGAATAAAAATGATTCAGTCTATAACCATGTCCATTTCTATCCTTACCTTTGAATATAATCGACTGTTAATAAATTGTTTTTGATTGATTTTTGAATGCATTTATAAATCAAATTAATTAATAACTAAACGTTCAACTACTTTATTCATCACCTATTAAATTGACTGATTTTATAATTATTTCATTACTGTGCATAAATCCATATTCCCTTTCAACATTCTTTCGAGAGAAATTTTCATGCGCATAAGGTAAATACAAGCAACACATGGTATTAGTTTTCGTTACAGTTGAATGAATATCACGTGAAATAAACAAAATAAAAACATCACCTTGTGTGTTTTGATTATTTTATCATATAGAGGCACTGATAGCTCGTATTTATTGTGAAAAATATCTCAAATAACCATGGATAATAATTTCCAACAATCTTCCATTTATGAGTCGCCATCCAATAACTATTATGCACAACCAATATATTCCAGTGAATATGGACAAATTCAATCTTTTAATAACATGGATATGAATACACAACAACAAATGTATCAGACAACTACACAACAACCATCTTCGATTTATCAGTCACAGTTTCAACAACCACCACCTACTTATGCGACAGCTCTTCAATCATCATCATATCCTGTACCTATGCAACAACAGTTGCCACCTGTAAATGGCAACCAGAGTAAAAATCTAACCTTGTTTTTCATAGAAGAATGTAAATATGCTCTTTTTAGACTTATCAACAAAGAATCCAACTGGTCCAGAAGCATCTCCTGCCAAAGGCTTTGAATGGCCGCGTAAATCGGTTTCGCTTGTTTGTCCAAAATGTGGTGCTTCAGTATCAACACGTGTAGAAACAAAAAATACATTGATTACTTTAGCATTTGTTTTGATCTTTTGTTGTGTCACCTGTATTTTGTTTTGGATACCACTTTGTGTGTCATCATTTAAAAAGTGTACGCATTATTGCCCTTATTGTAACAGTGTTTTAGGGGTACGAAAAGAACTATGATAATAAACATTAAATTATTCGATCACATTTCATGTTTTGTTTTTCATAATGAAAAAAAAACATGGGACGCGTGCTCCGAAATGAATAGTTTTCATTACAAAAAACGCATATGCATAACAGTAATGAGATAACTTTTGAATGTAATTAAGTGTCAAAACCAATAACGTTAATCCACATGGTATTTTGTGGTGATTTTCAATGTCTACGATTCCCATGGAGTTGATTATAATCATTTTCAGTTCGATTTCTTTGACAATTAATTAAAATGTGAAGTACTTTGTAGCGATCGATCGAGATGTTTTTTCTTTCTCCAATTACTTATCCAAAGTTCATATTTTGTAACACGATGATTCTTAAGGACAAAAAAATCAGAAAATAGTAGCTGCAACACGAAGAAAAAATATCGAAATCGAAATTGATACTTTTTTGCTGTCCGTTGCAGCAGGTTCCATTTCATTATAAAAAGAGTTCCCGAAAAAGAAACCTTTCACGACTAAGGGTTTTTTAAGCTTCAAGATGTCATTCGTAGAAGTGAGTTTTCTCTTTTTATGTGATATCCATTTCTTTTAAAAAATCGAGTTGTCAGCTTTGCCCTGCATTCTTGTGTTTTGAGAAAACTCGAATATCATCTAGTTCTTGTTGATATTTAATTTCTTATCTTTTTCTTTTATTAAATTGAATATCGAAATCTTCTGTTGTTAAAAGTTCATCTTCAAGTATACCAACAACAGTAAAATCAAGTAGTTTATGTGCTTCATGTGTAAGATTAAAATTTAATGTTTTCACTTTTTTACTTGTTATTAATGAACGTTCAATTGTTATGCATTGTTTTCGATCATCAAAAAATAATGTGCTACAGTGATTTTAGTTATTTTTTGGATTCATTTTTGTCATAAAGATTATCGTTTGTAAATGATTTTAAATGCGACAAAATATGATGTTCGAGATATGCATATTTAGCAGTTGTATTGTCTCGTTTAACCCCAATGAAGCTCAAATTTATGTTGAAAATAACTATTAAAATAATCTTTCGAAAGTAATAAGCTTGTTTAAAAGTTTAAAGAGTACTTTTGTGGATAAATGGATATTTATATAGAAGATTTGGTCAGTGTTTTGAATGGATTTGTGTTGCAACTTTCGATCATTCTTTTGCCATAGAGAGTAGATGAAAAATAGAGATTAACTGCTCGTCTCTCTTGTTTGTTCTTCCCTGTTTTATAAGAGCTTCCTATTAATACATGTGTGCCTATCTTAGTTTCATCGTGAAACTTGTTGGTATTTGAAACTTTACTACGTTATCAATAAGATATCCGTTGAACTTTTTTTCTTGGCTGGAATTATTCTGACATGAATAAAAAAGAACAAAACTTATCGCCAATAGAGGAAATCATGCTTCCCTTTTTTACATTAGAGATATCTCTTTATATCTTACGATGAAAATCTTTTCATACATTCTTCAGTGGGCCTATCTGACGAGGAGTCTTTTCGAACTAAGATTGTCATGTGTTTTGCTTGTGGCACAAAATTTCTGTTTTTTTATCCTTGCACTGCTTATTTAGATTTCATCAATTTTTGGTATTTCCAAGCAATATTCTTCTATGGTGTTCAGTCATTCCCTAGAGAATGTGACAAAAGATTCCTAACACTGTTTGCTAATGTTGTTTTATTGTGAGTATTCTTTTTTTGAAAACAAAATCTGTTTTCTGTTGATCATGAAAAATGCTATTCTAACCTTATTATTTGCTTGTGCTCTCTTTTTTATTTGTATTATTTTCTTTTTGCGGGTTAGGATGATACTTGACGAAGCACTGTTTCGCATTGAGATAATTCAATAACAGCTTATTTTGTTTTCTCCGACGAAGTAGCCTCTTAAATTAGTATGAAAAGATTGCAAAGAGCTATAACAATAATCGAAAATATTTATAATGACTGAGTTACTACTTAATTGTAATCTCAAAATGTGGAACAATGTTGTTGTCTCGAAAGATGAATTTTGATTATTGTAACCGTCTAAAACGATCAATACTTCTGCTACATGAGACGAATCTATATTTCATGCTTGTCTTATTTTTCTTCCGTTCAAGACTCTGAGATAGGAGTAGATATTCTGAGAAGCCGTCTATAATGAACCATAATATTTCCGTCTTTTGTTCTAGACGTTTAGTCCATTATTAAAAATTAATTTGAGGCAGAGATGGTACCGGTAATCGACCGGTCTACTGGTATTTACCGGTCTAAACCACCTTATACCGGTCTATATTTTCCACTTTCCTGCTCTATGATGTTATTCATATGAAAAAACAACTGGCATCAAGATTAGTTCCACTGATCATACAGGAATTTATTTAAAAAAACAGTTTTCAGAATGCTCATCAATGAGACTATTGTTATCAACGGTGAAACATTATACCAGTATGCGTGAAAGTACGAGGGTAGTCCGCAAGAAAGTTCACTATGAAACAAGGTTTCATTTCAAGCCTTAGTCTGTTGTCTGTAGATCGATATTTTGTTGGTAGGTCACATTTTCTCTTATAAACTGACGTATCATCAGCATCCTGTTTAGTACCGGTAGGCTAGTTTTGACCGGTAGACCCGTCAGATCAACTTTTTTCGGTAAATCGGTTTCGGTTGGTAAACAGGTTTGACCGGTTTTCGCCGGTAAACCGGTTTGGACAGGTCGACTGGTTTTACCGGTCTGGTCCGGTCTGACTTGTTTTGGTCTGGGACCGGTATCGGTCTGAAAAAAACTAGACCGGTTCCATATCTGATTTGAGAATTCTCTCAATTGTAAAAATAATAAGTGTAAAATTAATATCCAGTGTAGTTCTACCATTACAGCACATGTCCAACCAATATATATTGAAAGTTATTTACATTAACCAACAAAAAGTGGACAATTATAGTAGATTGCGTCAAATACATCTGTTTAACTCTTTAAATTGTACTAAACAATAGAAGTTCAGTATGAATCTTCTTCATTATGATTTCAACACAAAGCTCAAGAACTTATGTGAGATTTAAAAAACGCTTGCTGCTTTTTTCTGACTTTTAGACGTACACTTTTCATCAGGTTTTGTTCAGTGAGCACCAGGAAGAATCCTAATAGGGAATCAAATAGAGAAAATGGTTTTCGAAGAGAATGTAAAGAAGTCAAAACTATTTTCATATTAGATGATTCAACGACTTTACGAAACTCAAATTCGAATTTATGAACACCTAAATCGCGAAAACATAACTTTACATAAACTACATGGAATGATACAGTTAATCGACATCTACAAAATGAAAGATCCCTGCGATCCTTGAGACGCTTTTCGGTTGCAATACAGTAATTTGATAGATGACCGAAAAATGATTTTGCTTTAGAAAAATTTGAAAAAAAAAGACTCTATCCAGTTTGATGAGGTCACTCTATCTTACCTACAAGACTTCGCAGAGAACTCTTACAACCGTCTGAATTTATAAACAATTCTTTTCTCCGTCTTTATTCGTACTCTAAACAAAAATATATACACGGCTTTCAGGTGCTGAACAGTATCTTTTTCCTTCTCGGAGAACCTGTCTTCGGGAAACTGATAATTTGTACTTCCTCATATTCTCATGAAAAACAGCTTTCTGCATTCTAATGACAATTTGAACTCGTTATAGCTCCAATCTTAGTGAAAAGAAAATCGTCAACAGACCTTCTTCAATAATTTTAGTTCCCACTCCAATCCAGTCTAATAGTTAGAACAATGTATCTAAATCATTATCAATAACTGAATCCCTAAATCAGTCATACATACGAACAAATGGCAATACACTACCTATCTGATGACTACTTAAAATGATAAATCAAACATTTCATTAGAAACTTCGTATCAATCATGCTGTTTAATACAGTTTCAGCCAATGTTGATAACTACAGTATATCTCGTAAACAGTGAGCGAAAAATGCATCTTATTCTTCGGAGCTACTCCTTACAACACAACTACCCATCCGGCGTAGTTTGCCCTGTACCGTTCCGAGTTTAGATGCACGATGCCCGCGTTGGATTTCTAATTTCGCAATCCTTTTTTCTCAAGCTTCTCATCCACAAATTCTCGTGCCGCTGTTCAACAATTTCTTATAAATTCTAATTATCACATCTACATATCAATAACAGTCCGACGTGGTCTAGTGGTTAGGATTTCTGCCTTTCACGCAG